AGCAAATAAAACCGATGTCATATGCTTGTTAATTTGAGATATTATTTTGCGAGTCATGATGATGAGTCATGGTGCGGGTGGAAAGCTGCTGACCTCGACTGGGGATATTGTCGGGCGGTGGAAGGAATACTTTGAGGTTCTCCTCAATCCCCCCGTCACGTCCTCTGTTATAGAGGCAGAGGCTGAGGATGTTGGGGCGGATACCAAGGTGGTTGGCAGCCTCCATGGTGGCAAGGCTCCGGGTGTGGATGAGATCCGCCCTGATTATCTAAAGTCTCTGGATGTTGTAGGACTGTCTTGGCTGACACGTCTCTGCAACATTGCGTGGCGATCGGGGGCGGTGCCAATGGAGTGGCAGACTGGGGTGGTGGTCCCTCTCTACAAGAAGGGGGACCGGAGGGTGTCTTCCAATTATCGTGGGATCACACTCCTCAGCCTCCCCGGTAAGGTCTACTCCAAGGTACTGGAGAGGAGGCTACGGCCGATGGTCGAATCTCGGATCCAGGAGGAGCAGTGTGGTTTTCGTCCCGGTCGCGGAACACTGGACCAGCTCTATACTCTCCATCGGATACTCGAGGGTTCATGGGCGTTCGCCCAACCTGTCCACATGTGCTTTGTGGATTTGGAGAAGGCGTTCGACTGTGTTCCCCGGGGTGTCCTTTGGGGGGTTCTCCGGGAGTACGGGGTCGGAGGTCCTCTGCTGAGGGCCATCCGATCCCTGTATGACCGGAGCCAGAGCTGTGTTCGCATTGCCGGCAGTAAGTCAGACCTGTTCCCGGTGAATGTTGGCCTCCGACAGGGCTGCCCTTTGTCACCGGTTCTGTTCACTGTATTTATGGACAGAATTTCTAGGCGCAGCCAGGGGTCGGAGGGGGTCCGGTTCGGAGACCACAGGATTTCATCTTTGCTGTTTGCGGACGATGTTGTCCTGTTGGCTCCAACGAACCAGGACCTGCAGCATGCACTGGGTCGGTTTGCAGCCGAGTGTGAAGCGGCTGGGATGAAAATCAGCACCTCCAAATCCGAGGCCATGGTGCTCGACCGGAAAAAGGTGCCTTGCCCTCTCCAGGTGGGTGGAGAGGTCCTACCTCAAGTGGAGGAGTTCAAGTATCTCGGGGTCTTGTTCACGAGTGAGGGAAGAATGGAGCTTGAGATTGACAGGCGGATCGGTGCAGCGTGCGCAGTGATGCGGTCGCTGTATCGAACCGTTGTGGTAAAGAGGGAGCTGAGCCGAAAGGCAAAGCTCTCGATTTACCGGTCAATCTTTGTTCCCTCCCTCACCTATGAGCTTTGGGTAATGACCGAAAGAACGAGATTGCGGATACAAGCGGTCAAAATGAGCTTCCTCCGCAGAGTGGCTGGGCGCTCCCTTAGAGATAGGGTGAGGAGCTCAGTCACACGGGAGGAGCTCGGAGTAGAGCCGCTGCTTCTCCACGTCGAGAGGAACCAGTTGAGGTGGCTCGGGCATCTGTTCCGGATGCCTCCTGGACGCCTCCCTGGGGAGGTGTTCCGGGCACGTCCCACCGGGAGGAGGCCCCGCGGAAGACCTAGGACACGCTGGAGGGACTATGTCTCTCAGCTGACCTGGGAACGCCTTGGGGTCCCCCCGTATGAGCTGGAGGAAGTGTGTGTGGATAGGGAAGTCTGGGCGTCTCTGCTTAGACTGCTGCCCCCGCGACCCGGCAACGGATAAAGCGGAAGAAAATGGATGGATGGATGGATTTTGCGAGTCAGTGTTTCGAAGGGTTCCATTGACTAAACGAGTTTCGCATTGGTTCAGAGTTTTTTGACGTGTTTCCTTGGTTTGACAGCTTGAGGTGTATAGGCGCTATCTCTACATTATAAATGATGCATAAATATTTCTTAACAATTGTAGTGACAGTGTGTTGTACTGTATAGTGTTGGTGATTTTGGTGACATTTGGCAACTTTGATGGCATATTCAAGAGGAAAATGGAGAACCATGGTTTGGTTCTCCGCCCTAAGTTGGTTTAGGTCTTACCTTGAAGACAGGAAGTACTTTGTGGAGATTGGAAACTGTGTCTCAGATCATATGGCCCTGACCTGTGGAGTCCCACAGGGGTCGATCCTGGGACCTCTTCTGTTCAATCTCTACATGCTGCCGTTAGGTCAGTTAATACGCAGAAACAAAGTTTCCTATCATAACTATGCAGACGACACTCAGATCTATGTCTCACTGACTGCAGGAGAACATGGACCAGTGGACTCACTCCTTCACTGTATCCAACAGATCAGTGAGTGGATGCAAAACAACTTCCTTCAGCTAAACGCAGACAAAACTGAAATGATTGTCTTTGGTCCCCAGAAACAAAGAGAGAGCGTCATCTGTCACCTACAGTCTCTCTCCCTAAAACCTTCAAACAAGGTCAGAAATCTAGGGGTAATACTGGACTCAGACTTAAATTTTAATAGCCACATCAAATCAGTAACATCAGCAGCTTTTTACCATCTAAAAAACATTGCCAGGATCAAAAACATAGTGTCTAAAGCAGACCTGGAGATTCTTATCCATGCATTTGTCTCCAGTAGGTTAGACTACTGCAATGGCCTGCTCACAGGTCTGTCCAAACAGGCTGTAAAACAGCTGCAGTACATTCAAAATGCAGCAGCTCGAGTCCTGACTAGAGCCAGGAAGTACGACCACATTAGTCCAGTCCTCAGGTCCCTGCACTGGCTTCCTGTGGCTCAGAGAATAGACTTTAAAACAGCTCTGCTTGTGTACAAGTCTCTCCATGGCCTCGCACCAAAATATATTAGTGACATGTTAGTCCCATATGAACCAGCCCGGACTCTGAGGAGCACAGGGACTGGACTCCTGTTAGTGCCCAGAGTCAGAACTAAACATGGGGAGGCTGCTTTTCAGATTCATGCTGCTAAAATCTGGAACAATCTTCCTGAAGATGTGAGACAGGCCTCCTCTCTGACAATGTTTAAAACCAGGTTAAAAACGGTGCTGTTTAGCTGTGCATACAACTGAGGGATTTTATATTTTTATCTTTCGTTTTAATGTTCTGTAATTATTTATGATTTTAATGCATCTTGTTCAGCACTTTGAGTTGCCTTGTGTATGAATTGTGCTATACAAATAAACTTGCCTTGCCTTGCCTTGCCTATTGGCCCCGCCAATGTTTTTTTTCTTCTTCTAAAGCTGCTGAGCCGGTGAGCCAACAAAGAACCCGACTTAAAACTGTTGTTTTTGAAAAAACCTGCAATCTATGCATGAAGTGCAGTCCCTTTGTTTCTGTAAATTGTTTTCAGGTGTAAACATACATACTGTATATCCAATTTGGATATATGTATGCTCATATTGCGCATCAGATACCCACACAATATCAACACAGGTGCTGAGACATGGAAGGAAAATGATAATACAAAAAAATAAAGATACGTTTTTGAATTTACTGAAATTCCATTTACTTTTATAATCCATTTAGATCCCTTACAACTGTAAGCGATCTTACAACAAGAAATCACACAGGTCCCACGTGTTATGATTAAGTTAATATTTATGAAGTCCCACATTTAGAGTAATAAGCAGAGACAATTCAGAACTGATAAAACCTTTATTTCACTTAAATTGTCTCTTACATTTTGTCCTGTTTGAACATGGATAGTGGAGCAAGAGCCACTTTCACACAGACCTACTTCAAATATCCAAGAGGAGGACAGTGTCAGGGCATTGGGGGAGATTTTCAACTATTTTTTTTTTAAAACCATTTTTCATTTGTTTTCTATAGGTGTCAGTCAGCTAAAGTCTATATGTTCACAACCACGTGCGCGCTAAGCAAGAAAACCATCACGTAAAGCTTTTTTTGGTTTGTATTTTTTTGTGTTTTTTGGATTTTTTTTTTTCAATTTTAAGCAGAATACTGGTCAGTAAAAACAAAATGATTGCTGATATACATATAGGTGCCACATTCACTACTGCATGGGGGAAAAAAGCTTTGTTCAAATATTTTTTTAAGGATACATTTTTTTGTATTTTTTTCCCCTTGTAAATTTCATAGTGCATGGATTATTATGTCCCCAGCAAATTGTAGAAAGAAAACACAAGAAAGACATGAGCTATCTAAAACTAATGTGGAATGTAAATGGTTAATGGCAAAGGCGATTGTGACATGGTAAACAAGTTACCCTTAGCATTCTTGTTAGCATTAGCATAACTGCTTCAAAAGATTAAGATTACTTTACATTTTTTTAAAGTGTCAGGTTTTTATAGCAAATCCTTAGCTGATTTAGGCCAATTATGCATTTTTGTTCTTTTTAAAATTGTTGTTCTTTTTAAAATAGGTTTTATAATGCTAAAGATGTCTTGATGTTGATTAGCATGATCATTATTTAGCATTTCCCATTATCAGTCATTGTAACATAATTATAACCAGTTTTTTTTGTACGCAACTATGTTTTTATGATGCCAAAGTTATTTATTTTCACCTCTGTCACAATATGCTTGAAATGACCTTCTGTATAAACCTCAGCACGATTTAAACGCTTTTTCCGTTCAAATATTAAAATTGTGCCTTTTTCTCAATCAAATGGAGAAAATAAAATTCACAGTGTTTGTTGAAAATAACTGGATAGTTTAATAAATTCATTTGAGGAATAAAATTGTTGCACAAAGAAAATAAAAACAAGAACTATTATCAGCGCGAGCTTTCAATGAAGAAATATGGCAGAGGAAAATAGTCAAAAAGTTTAGAAGAGACAGGGAAGTTAGATCATAGTAGGAACGTCAGGATTAAATTACTTATTTTGGTTTGAGATATTTTTTGTGTAAATTAACAATTAGGCGGGTATAAAAATGCTGGAGGTTATACAGAAGGGAGGAATTGATGCGGGAGATGTGCAGAGGGGGGCGGGGCCGATGGCCAAGTGTACGAAGAGGAATCAGGAGGCAGGAAGTAGGAAGAGCAGGAAGAAGGAAGAAGGGGAAGAAACAAGGAAGGAAGGAGGAGTCAAAAGAGTAGAACAGCAAAGGGCCTAGTTCTCGCCATCGCCGCCTTCGGTCTCGTCTGCCTGGTTTTCTGATGTCCACAGCTTAAAAGAAGAAAAACAGTTGAGTTAATATGTAGTTTGGGACATCATTGATTTTTTATTTAGACTTTGAGAGGCTGTGCACTGGATTGGTTCATTTTGCTGGCCGAAGATGACGCGTCTACTTTATCGATTACCGAGAGGAGAATTATAATGAATAATTATTACACAAAAAATTGAGTAGCCGAGACATTTAGCTTTCTTTCAAATCTGGCGTCTAACACAGAGACCATGAGGACAAACACATACTGACTTCTAATATGTACTACGCTTCTCCATTGACTTTACAGGAGTGTTAATCGTTAAAATAACTGTTAACACGGTTATCACGGTCTAATTATCATTGACAGTAAATGTAGCTTTGGTGGTGTTCCACAGGCAGCAGTACTCACAGTGAGGTTGTCCCTTAGTAGCTGCATGATCAGCGTGCTGTCTTTGTACGAGTCCTCGTTCAAGGTGTCGAGCTCTGCGATGGCCTCGTCGAAAGCCTGGACACAAAGACACAAGTCAATATGTAACAAAGGAATGTAATGTTTCACCTGATGTAAGGGTTGGAAATATTGACTGAAATGTTTATTGTACAAGGTTCAGCATAATCTGTTTATTACATAGTCTAACATCATGAACCGCAGATCCAGTCACTACTTCCAGATTTCATCCAGTCACTACTTCCAGATTTCATCCAGTCATCACTTCCAGATGTCATCCCTTCACAGAGGATAGTTTATGTCTGAGAAATAATACTAAATAGGGACTCATTTTAAAACAATAATTAAATAACTGGTTCCGCTGTCAAAACAAACATTGCGCAGTTCAAATTAAAATCTTGTGTTTTGACAGTTTTTGAAGAACATTTGGAAGTGGATAAAACAAGCCTCTTCAGTGTGATTGGAAGAACAGTATTAGTGATGGGTCGTGCCCAGTGGGGGAGGGTCCCAGCTCAAAAGTGGCCAAAATGACGTGCGCTGACATGCTTGCAATACCACCCCGGGCTGATGGGGGTGGACCCAGAAGTAGAATTAGCCAATGCTAACATATAGCTTTGGCAGACATCTCAAAAACGTCTTTACAGGATGGACCAAAAGTTGGCTCTTGGCCCAAAGCTCCGTTCCACATGTGTGTCAATGCTGAGGGGGGTGGATTTTTTTGGTCCACTCTAGTTTACTTGCTGTGAATTTTTGAAGTCTCTCGTTCAAATGAATGGAGTTGCGCCGGCTGACGCATGCGCAGATGCGTTTTTTCACAATTTTCTTGTGGGTGGGACCACTCGCAGCCATTTTGGATAGCTCCAGTAGAGCAAATTTTTTGGCCCATTAGTTTGAACGGCGGAGATAGGCGTGACTCTGTCCATTAATATATACAGTCTATGGTCGTGCCGCGTCAGCGCTTTGGGGCGTGAGCCGAGAAATCTCTGAAGTTTTTAGCAGAGCACGGGCCGACACCTGAGTTGTTTTAGGTGAGTGACGTCACTAATGACGTTTGAAGCATCGGGAGCACAGGAAATGGAGCGATTAATAGAGCAGACAACTGTACCAGTTACCAGTACATATTATTGTCATTTAAAATATATTCGTTATCACTACTGATATTGATCATAATCAAGCAGATGAATTAAAGAGTCATACACAATCAAGTTAAATGTTATTTCTGTTGCCAATATTAATTGTATGCACCCAGAGCCTCACAAACAGTTCAAATGTCAATACAGATTTTGACCACCAGGGGGTTTGTGAGCATATGAAGCTTCAAGAAATGAACTTGAACCAATGGATGGAAAGGTTCAACACTTCATGAAGCTTCATCAACCCATCACTAAACAGTACTATCAGCATTTTAATGTGAAAAATGGTTAGTCTTTGGCTCCAAACCAGATTTACCAATGGATCAAGCATGACATGTTCTTGAAGGAAATGTAATTCTAATAATTTTGGGAAGATTGCCATTTGAAAATACTGTACTTCTACTATGAAGGCATACAGCAGTGGTGTTTACAGTTGAATTTTCACCACAGGGAAGAAATCAACATGTCAAAATAAAAAAGGGGTCAGAACAAACTTCAGCCCTTTACGGATGTTTTTATAGTTTATTTTTATAATGAATAAAAACACTGTGCTACAAGAAGAACAATAAAAACAAAAACTGTTTTGTTTTTTTCCCTTACACAAACACTCAAACCTGCTTGTGTACTGTCCACCAGATGGTGTGGTAGGGTACCTGCTTGGCCAGAGAGCAGGCCTGCTCTGGAGAGTTGAGGATTTCGTAGTAGAAGACTGAGAAGTTGAGGGCCAGGCCGAGGCGGATGGGGTGTGTGGGCTGCATGTCCTTCTTGCTGATTTCAAAGGCGTCTTGGTAGGCCTGTTGAGAGCTGTCCACCGTGTCTGAGGGAGCCAGCACAAGCATCAGGTTAGAGACAAAAAGAGGCACTCTCAGCTGCCAACTCATTACAATACAATATTAGAATACTATGTGTATAGATGTAAACATAGTAGAATTTAGAGTTAAAAATACAGTTTTTGTGTCCTAGAAGGCACTATTTGACTCGATGGAAAACAAAATGTTTTCTTCTTCTTAAGGGGGGCCTAGCAGAAAATATTTGAGAAGCACCACGTTAAACGTTGTACTAGCCACGCACTCGCAAACCTTTGATTATTCCGTAGAGACGCGTGCAAGATGTTCTTCAATGGAGACACTCACACACTGATATTGTAAACATTGTAATAAGATCAGTGCTTCTTCCATCAGAGCCGTAAAGTTGCTGCCACTTCTTGGGAGATGCGCCAAGGGCCTTTAAATGCCACTTGCAGGTTTAATTATTTATCAAAAAAATATAAATATACATGTTCACTTCACATTTTGGCTGCCCAATGTTCAAAATGTGTTGATAAAAAGATTGAAAATCCTATTCATACCATTAAATATACACATGGTTAATAGTGAAAGGACAAATGTAAGAGCAGAGGGTAAACGCTTTCAAATGTATTTGCATGGTCAAACACCCCCTGTCCTGGTCCAGTGCTAATGCAAATGTCTGACTATTCAACCCTCTCAACCTACCTACCATGTAGAAGTGCACATGTACATTATAGCAGTGTATTTTATTGAAATGTGAGGGAACATGTGATCATCAATCCTGGGTCATTGTCATGAAGCTCTTCGCGAAAGTTCACTGTGGTAGACCCGGCCACTGCTGCCAGATCTACAAGCCTGCTCATCCTCTACTCATTACACCAGCAAAACGCCCACATCTAATCCACCAATAACCACCAGGACAGCAAGTTAAAAGCCGGAGACGCCCACTTTCCCGGCCTTCTGAAGTTTGCAAGGTGCATGTCGCTAAACGCACCTGTTCGCAAATGCATGCGTTGTTCTGGAGGGGTCGTTTCTGCTCACGTGTTGCTCGTGCGCGTGGCCCTGCTGTCCTCAGTCTGGCTGCTTGTGGTCTGCTCCTCCTTCGCGTCCCTGCACCTGCTATGGTTTGCGTGTCTCCACTGCTTTCCTCCTCTGTGGGCTGATCCGCGGGGCCCCTCTGCAGGTTCTGTGCTGCTCGTTCCTCGTGGTCTGGCGGTGCCGTGCATGTCCCTGCCTCCGATTGGCGGTGCCGCGTTGTCCCGTTGCTTTCCCAAGTCTCCTGGCATGTGAGTACAGTGAGTGTGCCGACCGCGGACGGATTAATCCCGGAGTCTGGGCTGCAGGCGGCTGGTTTTTGCCCTACGCACTTGACTGCAGGCTCCGTTTTCACACGTGTTTGAGCTAACTGAGGGGCAATGCATATTAAATAGCATCAATCTCTATTGTCTGAGGGATATAAGAGGAGCAATGTGCATAATTCACCACTTGCCACTTGCAGTAAAACCACGTTGGAAATATGTGCAAAGACTACCCCATTGTGCTCCAGACGGCACACACCAGAACTCTTGCCACGGCGCCATCTTTACAGCATTAATCTCATTACTCGCAGGTCACTATTGTTAAATGGATGTATTTAAATTTGTCTATCTGCAGGAGGAAGGAGGGGCCATGCATTTAAATAGCTAGGTCACTAGTATTAAATTGGGTAACTAAACTGCAGTTGTTGCATTTTGAAAGTGCAGCAGAAAGAAAAAGGGCCCAATGTGAATCTGCAATGGGTTTGAAGTGGAGTTGGAGCTAATGAACGCATGGAAAAGTGATCGTTCATGCGTATCTGCCATAACCAAAGCAGCAAGATGGCTCCAGGGGAGTCTGTTATTCGCATGGGAATGTTTCGGATTCAGGTTGATTTATTTCCTCAGGCTCTTAAACAACCATGGGCGTGGTTCTCTGACCGCCGCTGCTGCGGTCCCTGCTGCCGTTCCTACTGATGCCTGATCCCGCTGCTGCCTGTTCCCGCTGCTGCCGCTCCTGCTGCTGCCTGTCCCTGCTGCCTGCTCCTGCTGCTCCTACTACTACATGTGCCGCTGCTGCTGTTCCTGCCGCTGCCGCTCCGCAGGCTCCCAGGCTGCACCTGTCTCTACGGCTCGGCTCCTTCAGACACGTATGTAACCTGGCTCACGGAGACAAGCGGCGCACACTGGCGTGACACGTCTGTTGTTCGTATGAATCGCATTGTGGTGCTACTGCTCCTGCTAATGCTGCTTCTGCTGCTTCATACTGCTACCGCTACTGCTGCTACTGCTGCCGCTAATGCTGCTATTGCTGCCGCTGCTGCTTCATACTGCTACTGCTGCCGTGCTGCTGCTGCTTCTTTTACTTTGACACCTCTCTTCACTTCGCATCTCTTTTACTGAAACACTAAACAGCTTCAACAATATTCTACTGCTGTGGCTTTGATACAGGATTATTGCTGTTATTATCTACGGATGCTGCAGCTGCTGCTGCTGCTGCTGCTTCATACTGCTGCTACTGCTGCTGCTTCATACTGCTACTGCTGCTCCTGCTAATGCTGCTTCTGCTGCTTCATGCTGCTACCGTTACTGCTGCTACTGCTGCCGCTGCTGCTTCATACTGCATCTGCTGCCGTGCTGCTGCTGCTTCATGTACTTTGACATCTCTCTTCACTTCGCATCTCTTTTACTGAAACACTAAACAGCTACAACAATATTCTACTGCTCTGGCTTTGATACAGGATTATTGCTGTTATTATCTACAGATGCTGCATCTGCTGCTGCTGCTACTGCTGCTGCTGCTTCATACTGCTACTGCTGCTGCTTCATACTGCTACTGCTGCTGCTTCATACTGCTACTGCTGCTACTACTGCTGCTGCTTCATTTACTTTGCCATCTCTCTGCACTTGCATCTCTTTTACTGAAACACTGAACAGCTACAACAACATTCTACTGCTGTGGCTTAGATACAGAATTATTACTGTTATTTCTAAGGACGCTGCTGCTGCTGCTGCTGCTACTGCTGCTGCCGCGGCTTGATACAGGACTATTGCTGTTATTATCTGAGGTTACTGCTGCTGCTGCTACTGCTACTGCTGCAACCCACTCTCTCAGAAGCTTATCCTGCTTCTAATGGATGCAGCCCGGCTGAGTATGCCGCGCTGCGCTGGACTCGCACCTATGCACCTATGACCCGGCCACTGCTGCCAGATCTACAAGCCTGCTCATCCTCTACTCATTACACCAGCAAAACGCCCACATCTAATCCACCAATAACCACCAGGACAGCAAGTTAAAAGCCGGAGACGCCCACTTTCCCGGCCTCCTGAAGTTTGCAAAGCCTCCGCCGCCCCACCTCCTCCTTCTCTCATCGAAGCGTGCTTGCCTACTGCCTCTGCCGTCACCAGTGCCTAGGCCCCGGGGGGGATTATGTGCGCGAGCAAGCGCCGCACTCATCAGCATCTCTCCCGGGCCTAGGGCGCCAAACATACTCAATCAACAAACTTCTAACTGCATTTTCCCTCTTGGGTCTCTCCAAAGTGAAATAGTCATTACAAAGGTGGTGTCCATAGTATGATCCTCAGAACATTTTCATCTTGGCCCTCTTTCTTGATTTGTCCCATAGTAAACATGTTTACTTAAAGTAGAGTTTACTAAATGCCTAAATACTACTATTATAAATACTTGAATACTACTGATTTAACAATAATAATTAGCTGGATTTAAGAAATGTTATGCCATTTGTTATTACTAGGGAATAAGGATAAAGAATGAACGAACTCACAAGTACATGGCAGAATATATATTTTTCAATTGAATGATGAAGAGGCAAGATTCAATGCCATGCCAAATGTCTTGTCAAATTTAAATATACATATAGAAAATCACTGCATGTTCTTCATCTAAAATGTTTGATACCATCCAGGCCAATATCAGGATATTCTAGCAATAAAACCTGGTATGTTTTCATGAATTCTTACACTATCATGTCACGTTTTAGAGCAACTTTTTGTGGTGAAAACAAATATAGTTCTGACAAATGACGTTCCTTAAAACAGCGTAGCTTAACTATGTGGCATTTTTTGTTGAGGATTCCACAATGTTAGTTCCCCTGTCGCCCACCAGAAATATTTTTTTACCACAATAGACTAGAACTTAATTTCACAAAAATCCAATAGAATATATTGTAAATATTGTCAAGATTATGTAGCAAGGCCAAAATGAAGTCCCATATTACGCTTTTTGACTTTTCTCTAAACATGATTACAGTGCTATTTGGCCTTCATACCTATGCCCAGAGTAGTTTTTTCATTGATTCTGTCAAGCTTTAGTTAGAGAGCGATCTTTCACTTTAATTCTCGAGAGGCAAAGATACGAGCTGTTTCAAATTGTGATATGCACCAATCCGTGACGTCAAAAGCCCGCCTCCAAGAGGTGATTGACAGCAGGGAAAAACTGAACCAGCGAATCAGCGCCGTCTATAATCAGCTGCAGCCTCTCTCCAAGTCCGCATGTGGTCCATAGACTGTAAATAAGAGTTTGTGCTTTTTTGTGTTAGCTTCATGTCAACTTGAATATGTGACGATTGAGAATGGGGATCGACTTTGTTCACGAAGGGAGGCAGGCTCACAGACAGAAGCACAGATCAGCTCTTTCACGTAAGGTGACATCCGCTCTATGCACGAAATGGCTATAATTTGACAAGTTTTGAGTGTTGTATGCTGTATCACCCAAATTATTATCACACATGTGCATAGGATGGACTGTGAAAAACAAAGAAAAGCTAAATATGGCACCTTTTAAGAACATTTGACTGGATAAATTGTTTTTAAAATGTGGCTTGTGTTTCAAAATAAAGAAAACAGTTCATGAGGCTTTTTCAATGCCAAATACCATGTCAACCCTGTGTGGCCGTGTAGTTTGGACTGGTGTCGGTGTTTCAGCAGAGGGAAGATAGGAACATGTCAGAATAAAAGGTAAAAAAGAAAAGAAAATCTGACTTTCAAAGTAAGTCTATTGTCAGAGCACAGTCCACCCAATCCGCATTTTAATGGACTACAACAAGTGTATCATCTATATAGAGAAATTTAAACATTTTCATACGTATTTTTTACTTCAGCTTCATAAGGAAAGTGAGTCGTGAACGAGTTGATCTGAGATCAACCTGTGTCTCTTGGTGTGTAAGGAAAGGGCGTCCCGGGGTTTTCAAATGAGGCTATACAGCAGGGGTATATGGCTGCAGGTTTTCATTCCACCCACACCAGACTTTACGCATTTACTCATGTCTTCAGGTAAAGACTGGACTGGGTGGAGTCTGGTGTACTCCAGCAGCCACATCAGCCCTTTGAGGACAGACTTGAATATCCCTGCTAAATTGAATTTGTCATAGTGTAACAAGTTTGAAAACAATATTCAGGCAGAAGGAGCGGAGAAACATGTTTATGGTGCTGATTTGTTCCATTTGTTCCTGATATTAGTGTGGGTAGAGCTAAAGACCACTCCAGGTCTTCTTTTGATGAGGGAAGTGTGAGTAAACTGAGGGTAAAAACAAGCTGGATGTTTTTATTATGAGATGAATTTCCTTTCCACATGTGTGAGATTAGGGTGGCCCACTCCTCACCTTTCTTGCAGTCCCCTGAGGCCACCTCAGACAGGTATCTGAAGTAGTCGCCCTTCATTTTGAGGTAGAACACCTTGCTCTCTGCAGCCGTGGCATTTTTGATGAGGTAAGAGTCGAGCAGGTTCTGAAAAGAGAGCATGCACAGTCAGGACATGTAAGAATAGTCCCGTCTCAAACCTCACACTCTACATAGTATCATATAATTTGTAAATCAAATTGTACAATAATGTTTCACAATTTCACAATGAATTTTGGATTACAGCGTTTTTTATTCTATTTTTTTAAAAAGGTACTACTAAGATAATTGCAAGTTATACAATATCAATCAAACTGCTCAGGATACCTTTTCTTCTTTTGGAGACTATTCATATTTTGACGATTCTATTGGAATGAAACTTTGTAATAAATTCTTGTTTGTCACATCTTTAGACAACCTTTTTCAGACAGAAAAGTTAAGAGAACAACATGCCTGCACAGGATGCGCTCCATCCACATTGGGGAGACCACACATAAAGTCCATACAGTATCTCTATACATACATTCATAACACAGGCGCACCAGGTGACACAGTGGGACAGCCACAGCTGTTGTTAAGTGCCAACTGTCATTGTAACAAACTGTTACTGAGCTAGGAGATTACTTTTCAATACTTGTCAGTAGGAGCCAGAGTGAGTTTCAACAAGATTTTGTAAAATTGGGCTTCATTGAGCTAGAGACAGTTAGCATTGTACATCTACAGTATATACAGTCTATGGTCAAAATGCGTTTAACAGATGGCGCACAGAACATCAGAGCGTGTAAAAATATTTAGAACATGGTCATGTAATAAGAAATGAATTCTAAAGATGTATAAATGACCTTGCTATTTTTGGGTAATTGGTAGACCAGCCATTCCCAAACTCAGTAACACCGAGGCCCCCTTAAAAATCTGACGGGTCTGCGTGGCCCCCCAAAATAATAACCAAGAAGACAACATTAAGAATAGGCTCTTCTGGTCATTTTATTTTGGGGAAATAGCCTCTGCTACAAACATTGTAATACAAAAATGATTACAGTGGATTATTCAAGTCAAATAATGAACACAAATATTTTAATATTACAAACAAACATTATAAATTTAACATTAAATAATTATATTATTTTTTTATTTTTTTTATGACCTCCCGCGGCCCCCCTGCAGTACCCTCGCGGCCCACCAGGGGGCCGCGGACCCCACTTTGGGAGACACTGGTATAGACAATCAGCATCATGAAAGAATTATAATACAACCAAATTCTTCCACTGTGTAATAGAAACCCCTCTCTTGATTGTCCTCATGCTCTCCCTCTGTTGCTATAGCAGCTGCCTCCACTCTGCTACCATGGAAACAGGTGCCAGGCCTATTTCGGAATAAAATTAAATAAATAAAATGTTGAATCGAGCACTGCACTTCATAAGCTCCTTTCAAATATGTCCACAAGGGGGAAGAGGAGAGCACATAGATGGCCAGGTTCTGCTCTACACATTGAGATAGTGGGAATCTACTAAATGTCTATTGTCACAAAATATGTATGGATTGCATATTTATCTTATTTTCATGTAGTCAGTATTGACACAGTGAGTAGTAGTAATAGAATAGTTGATTCTTGTAGTATTAGTCGTAATAGATGCATGAGTAAAAGGAGTAGTAGTAGCAATAGTAGAAGCAAGAGGAATAATCAAATGAGTGGTAGTAGTACTAGTGATAGTGAAAGCAGGAGTAATAGCAGTAGCAGTAGTAGCAGTAGAAGGAGCAGCAGTAGCAGTAGTAGTATGAGGATGGAGGATGGAACAGCCTTATATAAGGCTTATATGAAGGCAACAAACACATAAGCATTCATGATTAAATGTTTATTTTCCCTGCAGCTCATTCTAGAGAATGACGCACCACATGACTACTCTGCTATATGATATTTGGTGTTTTAGGTTTGACTTCTTTTTTTGCATTTTGCGTTGATGCAGTTGTAGAAATCTCACATCACACGCCTCATCACAGGTTGGAGAAAGCTTTAGATGAATCAATGTCTTTGATTTGCCAATTGATGATTTAGTCTGCAGTTTGAATGGCCCTTCCTTTCACCGTATTTGCAGAGAGAGGTATGTCTTTCCTTTTTTAGATTAACTCGGTTTTTGAAGTTTGAAAATAGGTGCTCTGACATTTTGATGAATGAATCCTTCAAGTGATCTCTATCCATGAACTTTTTTGCACTTGATCATTTCTCGGGTTGCAAAAACAAATAATAAAATATACCCCTCCCCACTCGGGAGACACAACTCATTAGAGCCTTGGGTTGCCGACCCCTGCTATAGACAAATGTAAAGCACGAGAATAACAAGTTGTATTAGATAATTTGAAATGAGAAGAATGGTCATTGTTACAGAGATGACAGTCATTAGTTTCAATAATACTGTTATGCCAAGGCAGCCACCATGGCGCCAAAGTAGTAGTAGTAGTACTAGCAACAGCAGTAGTAATAGCAGTAGTGATAATACTAGTGACAGAAGTAGCAGTGTTGCTTCTTAATCGCTCCTGTTCATCATTCCACAGCAGCTCTACACAATGAACCTCTAAAATACATGCATTAACCCGTTGTACTGCTGCAGCGTTTGGAGCCAGATAATGAGATCTATTTCTGCTCTTACATGTGGGTCAAGGTCAATCCTCTCCCACAGTCACTCAAACAGACTCAGCCTTGCACCTGTCCTCCATCTCTGCTGCGTATTCACACGGAGCACGCCCATATAAGGAGAGGGGTGCAGACTAGTGGCGAGCGTAGCTGCTGCTCTGCACCTTTGTGCCCTTGCAGCCGGGGTACTAACTTTGTTCCCTTCTCATAGACAATATATTATGTTTATTCTACTTCAAAGGGTCTTGCAAAAGTTAAAATGTTGTGAAGATTAAGACGGTATGTTATAGTCTGATCTGTTATTAGAAAACATTTTAGTTATGGGAAAGAGCCCTGTGAGTCACTTTTTGGCACTTTGGGTTTGTAAGCCTGTCGAAATGGACAATAAATTGCTTCAGAAAGTAATTACCATAACACTACCAATATATTTTTTATTTAATTGACAGACATGTGCCAAGAAAATAAACAGCAAAATTAAGTATTATTGAGCCATATTGAACCCTCTGCAGCCAAAGCGTCATAAATCTGGAAGAAAATAGACAACATCTCTCCATAACTGCAAAGAATGTCACAGGTCCACCTTTCTTTCTGAAACCCTAACATTTTGTCATATATAACTTTGTCTTTTATGATTTTATGCTAAAGCGTTCAGTCGTAGTAAGTAAAAGACAAGGGGCAACATTGATAAAGGCCATTATTAGCATTAAGCACAATACCAGCACATCCCTGCAGATCTCGTCCAGCTCCTTCTCAATCTTGATACGGTAGTCGTGGGCCATCTGCTTCTTCTTCTCATTCCCAGAGTCGGCCTTGCCTTCAATACTGGAAATGACGCGCCAGGATGAGCGGCGCGCGCCCACCTGCGACCACAAGAACTTATTTAGAACAGTGCATTTCTACAGGTGCTCCAGCTGTGGTCCAGTTACATTTCGAACAGTTTATAGAATTTATACGTTTATGTTAATTGTCCCTGTAGTGAAATTTATACTATTCATCTGACCCATCCTGAAAGCCACTGAGCCTGTGTCAGGAGCCCAGGAACCCATCTCCAAATGTTTATGCTTGGATTCAGGACTACCAGAGCTGGGAGATTTTATCTATTGTACATGTTTTTAGTTTTAGGGGAAACTGGAGCACTCTGAGGAAAGTCACGCAGGCACGGGGAGAGCATGCAAACTTCACTCAGAAAGGACCTGTTCCCACCAGGATTTGAATCGAGAGTCCTTCTTGCTGAGAAGCGAGAGTGCTAACCACTCAGCCTAGGTGGCTGAGTGGTTAGCACTCTCGCTACTGTTTATTCCCATTTTAATAAGCCTTGTAAAATAATGCTTAGGGGAAATTGTGATTGTAACTGATGTGCTGGGGAGCAAAGAGTCTTCATCTTATTGGCTCTAATCATGTTCTAATTATTTCTTACTTTTCCAAAACCAATTAGATTCCAAAACGCTCCATTTTCACACTAAAATTGACAGAAATTGGACAAAAGGGCAAAAAAGAAGGCTATGCATAAAAACTCAAATCGCATGAGAAAATGTCATTCATCCATCCATTTTAAACCCCTTAGTCCATTTCTGGGTCAGGGGGTGGCTGTCAGAGATTCAGAGATGCCACCCAGTACACATAGCACCAGCCCCTCACTGATCCTCCAGTAGGTGGTGAGTCCACAGGAGCCTTGATCTTCCAGCAGGGGCTTCAGGCAAAGAGAAGTTAAGTGTCTTGCCCAAGGACACAACAACAACAGTCATCAGTGGGAGTTATGAAGTAGGTCTCATGGTGGGCTAGAACCCACGACCTTCAGGCTCAAAGGCCAATGCTCTACCAACTGAGCTACTGTCACAGAAAATTGCAGAAATAATTCAATTTCAATTGTATCTTGAAGGGTCAACATTTTTTAAAACTTTACATGCCTTGAATTTGGCTATATCAAAGTGAGGGACATGCAATTCTGGAAACCTTATGGTGTAATGTCTGGCTAGGGCTGCTCCAGGTTAGAACAAATTGAAGGCTTACCAAAGCAGGAGAAGTATCCAAGCTGTAAGGAGCCTACGATTTGCGATTTTGGATCTGGCAATATTTGTAACATAATCACACTGACCTCAAAGTCAAAGAGTGCCCTGACAAATACAGCTGAACAATGAACCTACTCTTACTCAAAGTGGGAGTAAAATTCAAAAACATCTTTATATATTTACACCTGGAATTCTTACCTAGTTATCCCCAACTTTGGTAAATGGTCTAAAGTACACATTACTTATGAATTGAGATGATATTTTCTTGTTAGGGTGTATCCTTTATATACAGTAGGAGAAAGCATCCCATTTAGAATCATGTTTTACTTTTTTCTTTTGACCCACTAAAAGTTCAGCTGGTACTGAAGCAGAACCAGCATTTGGAACGAAGAGGCCGCAAAACTGGCACCGGCCCAGAACCACCTGGTGGAAAAGGGGCAATAGAGCACAATTGAATTGGGCGTTCCTCCACCATCTGTGTGGCCTAAATTAAAATGTTAAAACAAAATACTAGGGCTCACCAGACATCCAACAAGATTATTTGAGACATAATAGTATGGTCGTTCAACTTTGTTTGTTTAGTTGAATAATCAGTTGATGGCCTCCTCGTGGACTAAAATATACATATTATATTTTACCATTATAATTCCATTTATTTGTATACCAGAAAAATCTCAATGAGGTTCAAAGGATGCTCTGGCAAAAGGCATTCACATAGAACCCTCAAAAACATTTATATAAAAAATCAATATATTCAGTTCTATAAGAACATGCAAGAAATAAAACAATTACAAACAACAAGAGGAAAATTTCATTTTCAGGTCTTTCAGAAGGGTGGAAACATGTTCAAGTTCAATATTGGCTGAAATAACGAATCCTTTTCAAATAATGTCAATGTGACTACATCGGTTTTCATGCTAGAGGAGTGAGTGAAATTCAGGAGCAGGTGAAATGTAATTATTGTGTCAGTTATAACAGTTTGGAAAGCTTCAAAGCTAATCGCTGACCTGGCATTTCTTCGTCCTCAGTCCTACATAATGGACATGCGTTATTTCTTCTCTGACCCATGACACATCACTTCTGTTTGTAACAATTTTTTTTGCCATATGGAGATAAATAAAGTACAAATTACTAGGTTTAATATCAAATTATATAAAGAAACAAACAATATGTTTGCTTACCCTAGCCCAAATGTTTGCCCCCTGTATGTCTTTAGTCAATGAACTGGGCTATAGTTTCTTAGTTGACCCAAAATTGTGCAAGTCGACCAATTCAGTCATATAAATTAGAAAGATTTCTATGGGGTAAAAAGCAAAAATCAGAAACCATGGACGTAGCTTATTTTTAGGGTTACTTTCAAAATTAAACCTATGAATGTCAAAATATATTAATTGTGCTTGATTTTATGACTTTATGGCAACAATGTCGTGAGTACAGTATAGGTCAGATATACAAAACAGCTTTGAGAACTTGTCAGTGCCCTTTTTATAGTCAACTAATCGGCTGGGAGTTTTTTTTGTCTATTCTAGAATTTAGTTGACTCCAGAACTAACACGTACCACGTTTTTGTAGGCGACAGACAGCAGGTTACGTTCCTCGTTGCTCAGCTCGTTGTTCTGTTCGGTCACGGCCTTCATCGCCGCCGCCATGTCGTCGTAGCGTTCGGCCTGCTCCGCCAGCTTGGCCTTCTGAACCAGGTCGCTCTTATCCATTTCGCCGCTGTGGAAGATAAAGAAGCCATTAGGAGTCATATCCATATGCCGGAAGAAGCCAATTAGAGCCAAGTCGAACGGGCTCCACGAGCAAGAAATCTGGAGTCAAAAGTATCTCATTGCAAACAAACAGCCAATCAGGAACAAGGCTTGTCTGTTCATGTCTGGAGCCAATTTTGTCTGTAGAAACGTCCTAGCAACAAATCAGCCAATCAGGAGCAACGTTGGTCTGTTACACCCATGCTTACACTACTCGCCAGTGTAATTTACACAGACATTATCAAAATATAAATGCCAGGATCTTAAAGAGCGTAAAATGACTCGTGTTGCTTTATTCAACCAAAACACATGCTTTCGGTCAAGACGTTCCTTGAAATGAGAAATATTGACATTGAAGTTTATGTCAACAACTCTGAAAAACAATAGAGGACAGGAGTGTGTGGTAGTTATGTACCTTAAAAAAAACTGAAATAAATAGGCAAGCTTCACTTTTGTTTTAGTAATACCTACAGCAAGGACTCTATGTTTTACTTCATAGCAAAGAAGTCCCATATCAACATTTCAAGTACAGAATGCTCATCGAGTCCTGGTCCAGTCTTTATTCGTTTATTACGGCTTAAATTAAACAAAATCTCACTACAACACTTGCATAATAAGTCAATAGAATATCCTTTCAGCATTACATAATATTAAATAAGAGCGGCGCATTTAAACATTTGTAATATTTATGAGCCATCTTAATGCAAAAGAACTGTAGCGTTGGCTCCAGTGAGAGCTAAATGAGTTGAGCTGTGTCCTAGTTAAAAAAGGCTCACAAACTCATCTGGAGTCAGAACCCTGGGGGCCAGTGCCGAGGAGCAGGTCTGTCCTTCAACACTCCAGTGCACCAATGCCACAGCTAAATCATAATTTTAGCAGCTGCCATAAGAAAATCGCACTAACTGCAATTATGTCAAAGAAAAAAGTGCAAGAAATGACAAGACATTTCCTGAAGTGGGAAATATAATTTTAACAGATTATGAACTACTCAGACCGGTATAAAAGAAAATTTTGAGTCACTTTTTTTCACATTTTTGGGCTGAGAAAGAGGTCGCCACCCTCACTCATCCACTTTTTGGTCTGAAAAAGTGAATCTAAAGATTTGAGTCATGTGACGGAGGTCAAAAATTTTAAAGTTTAATTTTTGGGGTTTGAAAGTCCAGTACCCCAGCTTTGACTTACACATCTAAGTGCAGTAGTTTTCCTTCTTTATCACAACTTATTCTTAAAATAAAAAAAAATAAAAAACAATCTAAATGTATATTCTTAAAGTACTTTTTCATCAGACTTGTCAAAGGGCAGAAAACAAAGCTTGTACTAAGCATTGATGAATCACACCATCATATTCATATTAATTCACATTTGACAGAGCTAAAGTTGGCTGAATGATGATTTCTCACCAGCTACATTAGCACTGTATACAGAATGTTGTACCATAGTCTAATATTAATAATAATATTATCAGTATAGTCAATAGTCCCACAGGCCGAACTTTGGACATGCCTGATCTTGGAGGTCGACTTTAAGGCCCATTTTACACTTTTTGACTTTTCTCTGCTTTAAACATGATTACAGTGCTATTTGGCCTTCATACACATGCTCAGAGTAGTTTTTCATTGATTCTGTCAATATTTAGTTAGAGAGCGATCTGTCTCCTTCACCCTCGAGAGGCAGTGAAACGCCTGGGTCTACATCTGTGACGATAACCACTCTGGTGATGAATATGACGCGCATAACCCCGTTTGCTTTGTATTTTAATGGTATGGTTTTTAAATACTTTTGTCAAAACAGGGTAAACAATGTACAAAAAGTATGCTGTTTGTTGTCAAAAATAATAAAAATAAAAAGAATAGTAAAAGCCAGGAGGTGAATGACAGATCGAAACAGCAAATCACAGCGCGCAGCCAGTCCAGCGTATGTCTGTGGTTTGGTCACGCGGGCACCACATGGAGCTTCTGCTTTTCTGCTTTTGTCAGCAACTAAAAGTGTTAGGATCATGTCAACTTGGGTAAAGTGTTTTTTTGGGTGTAAATATGTGATGCACTATTTGGCCCGAAGAGGAAGAAAGCGGCACGACTTTTTTCATATGGATTTGCCTCTGTTTGAATGAATGTATTCTTTTGAGACACTTCACTGAGACTGTTCCAGAACTACAAGGGACAATGGAACTGGACTTACTCAAAACTGATCTGGAAACCAGTGTTATTCCCCCCATAAAAGACGTAATACGGACCCCCCCCAAATCTTAAATACTAAATTCAAGACACATTTTTGGAAACTCTTAACTTAGCAAAGACATTCAATAATTGCCGTCTATGCGATTTTCCAGTAGCGACAATGAAAATGGCAATTTTGTTTTGATTGCAATAAATCGTGCTGTGTTAATGGTAACAGACCCTATTATTCATCTTGCTGAAACTCATGGATACGAGCACGGATGATTTATCCAACCCATTTATGACCTTGTGTCTTGATCTATCATTAGAAATGTATATCATACAATCTGCTCATCTACATACAGTACAGTACAATGCCTTTACTTACGCTCGGTCTGTAGTCACCATGGCAACACTCTCCATCCCCTCCGCTCATCCTGACCAGCCCTAGCGGAGCAGGATGACACACTTACAGCCCACTAGCCTACATTCTGGAGTCCTACAGTGGCCCTGGATACTGCTTGACGTGATTTCTTTACCAGTATTTCAGACTGCACCCACTGCTAAGTAGTTCTGAGCACATAAACACAGAAGAGATACAAAATTAAGATGGGGCTAGATGAGGACCAACATAACGTGTAGTTAAACCTGCACTCCACATCTTTTCTAGAGGCGGATTGTTGAGATCCATATATGTTTTTTTTCCCCTGAACAGTAAGGCATTGGTAATACATTTAAATTGAACTTAAGTTACTTAAATAAGCTGTACACATAATTTGTTTAGAGGAGAGCTCTGTTTTTTTTAACGATACAACATTACTTACACAGCTAAAACAGCAACACATCCTCATATTTCAATTGTTTAAAATGTGATTTTTTTTTTTTTTTGGAAGAGCTAAACTTTAAAAATGTGTCAGCACTTTGTCAAATGTGTATGCCTAAGCTTCTGTTCGCTTGGAGCGCTTTCAACACTGATAATAATTTAGTTCTAAGCAAAACAAACACTTAAAACATCCCTATAAGTAGTAACAGTAGGGTGGCAACTTAAGATTTTCACACAGGTTGTGGCTATACCTGCTTTCAAAGCCCAATATCAGGACTTGGATGAAACACTGAAGTAATTCCAGGTGCTACAGTACGAATTATGAGATCTAAAGTCAACATAACCTTTGTTCTTTTTATTCATAGTTTAAAACTACTCGTCTGTGAACTATCCATGTGCCAGATGAAGAGTACTCCCAGTCATAAAATGATTTTTTTTTTTTTTTATTGTTGATGAACTAATTGATTAATTAAATAAAGACTCACATGCAATATGATGGAATAGATCGGCCACAATTTAACTGACTTTTTGTTCAATACATAAGAGCTGGAACTATATTATTTTCAGGGATAAGTATTTATTGCATGAATCTTTTCTTTGTATTTGGGAGAAAACAACATTTGAGCTGTATTGGTGAATGGCATCTTACAGTTATTTTATATAGTATCCCAGTGATAGAATGTGTGTGGCATGAGGGATAGCTCATTGATTTTAACTTCTTCTTTTGAGTGGCAAAAACTAGAGCTAATGTTTGTATTGCACGATTCACAAACAAATCAATCAGAATATGATACATAATGTAAGCGTACAAAATTGAACCTCAAAACCACTATTAAAACATATTAAATTATTATTATAGATCAGGTGTCTCCAACTTATTTTACCCAGAGAGCTACTTTCCCGGCACGATAAAGGCAGAGAGCTATACAATCATTATTTATCATCACATTTGTGTTATTAGTGTACAAAGTAAGTGCATTTACAATAATTAATAGTTCTAATGAATAATACAATCTGAAATATTAAGTATATATACTGATTTTTTCATTTCTAAATCCTTTGGCGAGCTACTCGGAAGGGGGTGGCAAGCTACAGGTGGCTCCCAAGCAACAGGTTGGAGACCCCTGATATAGAATAATAATTATTTTATTGACATTGTAAGTAACAGGAATGTATTTGTTGGAAAAGATTGCAACTGATTCAACACAGTTTAAAGCTGGGGTACCCAACTTTCAAACCACTAAACGACTGAATTAATTCAATCCATGTCACTTGTTTTTGGCTCTAAAACAGTTTGGTTCCACCACTAGTTTTCACATTAATGTATTCTGGCCTCACATTGAGAGGAGAGGACCACCCTCACTCGGCCAATCAGCTTGCGTAAACTACTATCAACTAGTGACTCACAGGCCTCTTAGGGGTTTGCAAAAGTATTACAGTCTGATTTGTTCAATAAATTTTATTTACAAGACTACAGGGCCAAACTACATTAGGAAAAAGGTCAGGTACCCCAGCTTCAACTCCCATCCTAAGTCCCATCCCAAAAATATTGAGACGACGTGTAGATAGGAACAGAGGTATAATGTGCTTTTAGGAAAATATTGAGGCTACAAGTGCTGTGCAGCCATGGCAACCTCCTGGGCCACTTTGGAACCAGGCTTTCGCATAACATTTAGCATCCGCAGCCACACAATTTTCAGATATAAGCAATACCAACTAAGCCTCAAAACACAGAAAACAATGTATTGAATAAATACGTTTTATTCAAAAATAATATTCAAACTAGGTAGCTAAGCACCATTATGATAGGGTTAGCTGCTTCTACCTTCATTTGATAGTGATATGTACTTTTATTCCAAATAAATTCCATGGTGGAATTATTACTATTTAGTTTGATGCTAAATATAAATATTATATACCTCGTGACTAAACATGATCAGGATATTGCAATTACAAAATGTGTTATTCACCATTGTATGCTATACATCCGGAATCTCAAACCTTTTTTACCCAGAGAGCTACTTTGCCTGGACGATAAAGACAGAGAGCTACTTCTTTAAGCAGCCCTAGAAAAAAATAATGGTGATATATTTGTGTGAACGCGCCTGACATTGGGTATTTTACAATGTATTAAAATTACAATAATAAATTGTGATAATGAATAATATAATCTGAAATATCCATCTGTTTTCTTCCCCTTAATTGGAAAGGGGAATGGGGGTGGCAGTCAGAGCTGCACCCAGTACACATAGTTCCTCACTGTTCCTCCTGCAGGTGGTGAGTCCACAGGAGCCTTGATCTTTCAGCGGGGACTTCAGTCAAAGTGGGGTTAAGTGTCTTGCCCAAGGACACAAAGATAGCAGACATCAGTGGGAGTCATGAAGTAGGTCTAATGGTGGGCCCAAACCCACAACCTTCAGGCTCAAAGGCCAATGCTCTGAGCCACAATCTGAAATATCAAGTATATTATTTGATTTGTTCATTTCTAAATCCTTTGGCAAGCTACCTGGAAAGGGATGACAAGCTACTGGTGGCTCCGAGCTACAGGTTGGAGACCCCTGCTATACATTTACTTTTCCCCAATCGTTTATTCTATTGTTTATTGTTGTGGTCCAAATCGTTCTGAAATCCAGCTCTATAACATTAACACATTAAGATGTTGATGAAGATTAGGACTCATTCTTTCATATATAGATTCCAGACAAAAATAGTAGATCGATCATTCTATGAGTGTAGAATAACTAAAAATAGTGCTACAACTGAAAGCTGTCTGCTGGTGTGTGAGAATACCATGTGAGAATGGTGAGTACAGGAGCCCGTCTTTCAGGCCAAGGGCAGTTAAGGCTATAAAAGTGTATGCTAAACTTGCTAAACTTGAATGGAGAATTTACCTAATCAACACATTTTTAGTGGTAGGGAAAACCGGAGCACCTGGAGGAAACTGGAGTAGACACAGAGAGACCGAACACCACAGTGTAGCTAGGTGCATTCCATTACTGGCCTATGGAGTTGCCGCTTTTTGTTTGGGTTCTTCTAAATGTTGGTGTTTTTTTGCTGGAATGAAATTATACAGTTGTTTCCATATTCGCCTTGACATTAAGCTTCGGGCAAGTCCCATTTATATTTTACTTGCCCAATGTCAAAAGTTACTTGCCCAAATATTTCTCAACAATGAGTTAACAAGAGATTGGTGATAAAGTGTCACTAACTGTGGAAAAAAAATCCACTCACAGCCCAAAAAGTCAAATAATGACTCACTTAACTGTGCAAAAAAAACGCCTGCCGCAGTGTGTTCTGTTTGATTTGTTCACAACATTTTACTTTTGTGCACAACCAAAATGCATTTATGCAAGGGGATATTTAGGTACCTGAGCTTTAATTAAGTGAGTTTTGGTTACGACACGGGGAGACTTGCACTTTCAACAAACTAAGGATGGTCCTGAACGCGTATCTATGGTTCTGTCCGTGCGTCGATAGTTCTGTCTGCGCGTCTATCTGAACGAGCGTCTATGGTCCTGAACGAGCGTCTACGGTCCTGAACGCGTGTCTACGGTCCTGTCTGTGCGTCTATTGTTTTGTCTGTGCGTCTATGGTTCTGACTGCGCGTCTATGGTCCTGAACACGCGTCTACGGTCCTGTCTGCGCGTCTACGGTCCTGTCTGCGCGTCTATGGTCCTGCCAGCTCGTCTGGTCCTGAACGCGCGTCAACGGTCCTGTTCGCAAGTCTATGGTCCTGTCCGCGCAGCAAGTCCGTGCAGCAAGCAACAGAAAGTTCCCAGGGTCACATATTTCACAGACAATATGTGACCGCATATTGTCTGTGAATATGCGGTCACATAATCACAATTTTGAAGATAATTGGTCAGAAAAAGATAATCAGACGTGTCCACTCCCGGCTCCAGAGGAAGAAATGGCCTGAATTGCTAAAACAGCGCACTTTCGCATCCCAAATCTTTAATTGCTCCGGGCAAGCGGACAACCGTCAATGTCGAGCCCTGATTATACATTGAAAACAACTAAGCATTTGACCTTACTAGGCTACAACATAGCACCAAATATAATTTATGTATAAAAATATAATAACAATATTTCAAACTTAAAGATATGGAGCTCAACACCAAAGTAAGATTAAAAAAATAAAATGTGTAAAACAATACAATGACAAAACAATACATGCATGTCTTGCCTCTTGATAATCATCACTATTCATTTTCAACTGATTAATACCCGTTTTCTGCAAGCGTTTGACAACCTACACATCCATCGACAATAACATGTTTTGGACCATCCCACTACAAAATGCCTTAAACAGATTTAAGAGTAGTATCGATACCATAATCAGGAAAGCTGGTATCGATTCACAAACATAACGCTATTCTATTGGCCAAAGCACCTTGCAGTCGCCTTGAGGCTATAGAGTTATTAAGGGGAAGGACAGGTGCACTTTCCCGCAGCAGAGATTACAGCTCTGCGCCTTCCATTTCACTAGCCTGCGGCCCCACATACACACAGACAGATTATTAGCATATTAGCCACAGTGCTAAGCTAATGCTACTCCCATCGACCGCTGTCAAAGCAGAGCCAAGCCTTTCCATCCCCAGTCATACTGAGCTAACTATTTGTGCCAATGAACAGTTAAAACTGCCTGCATATATTACTGCTTGATATTACTATAGTCCTTTTCACGATACAAGCGTAAAATAATCTATTTATTTATTATCCGGTCTTCAAATCTCGACGGGGATGCAGAGTTGAGCGCGGCCCATTGGATTTGTATGATTTAATATGATGCTAACTGCTAATGCTAACAGGATCTGACCCAGTTTGACATAATGTACGCGCAACATTTTACTAAAATATAAGAGAATATACTTTAAATGAACACGTTCTGCGGCATTGAATGCTTTATATAGCTGTTGGCGTCGAAATGGCACACAACGTGGGGTCAAATTGATTCAAAGGAAGACATCGGGAAATGGGGAGGGTCTGCTAGCTTCCATCTCCGCCATGACAGAGCCCAGCTAAGGACATCACCCTACCGCTGTGAATTATCCAAGTCATATATGTCAGCTGTGCCTTTATATTGCTGTAATTATTGGCAATTACTGTGATAATGATAGATATTTAGCAGGAATGCCCGTATAAATCACATTGAAGTAAGACAGGAGGGGAGCACCAATAGACAATGCAGTGCTCTAGTATTCAGGCCCGTTATGTCTGTACGAGGAATTGTAATAATACAAATTAAAACAATACGTATAAGAGACACTAGATCTAGGCACAAGTATTTTCTTTCAAAGATCTGAACATTTGTGCGTTTAGATAATGCGGGTTATAATGTATAATAATTAGATCAATTCAAAGCGAAAGTGAATTTGACATTATGGGGTATTTGGGTGTGATGAAATAAGAAAAGATAAGATAGACTTTAAATGAACAGTCGTTTTAGATTGCTCTTAATAGAAAATCTGTGAAATATTCCGGATGAAAATAACGGTGAAAGCTCTGATTCCAAGCTGTCAAAATGGCCTAACTTGACTGTTCCCTGCCCTCTTTCTACGCCTGTCATCACGCGTGGCATAGGATTAGTTCTGGGCCTTTTCCAAACGAACTAGGTGTGAATTACAGCCACGATTAATCACGATGAATTAGGCCGCTTTTCTCTGCAGCGCCAGACTCGCCCTGAAAATCCGCGTACGCATGCATCCACCCAGCTCTGCCTGTGCGTCTCACCACAATGGGCACCAGCACTACCAAACTCTGTTCTGCTGCAGTGGATGCGATACGCTAGTAACCAACACCCTCCAATCAAAGCAAGCTGCAAATAAATACACAATATTCTTTGCAAAATAAACATGCGATCGCGCTTACATTTGAGAGCGTTGAAGCGATCGCGATCTCTGCTGTGAACGATGGGAGATTGATCCGGTCGTCCTCCGCTGTTCGCTCTTGCTCCGCTGGTTGGCTCAGTGGATGGCTCTGTGTAGTCGCGCGCACAAACACGCGCGCATACCGCACACACGCACGCACGGATACCCACACACACATACACACACACGCACACACACACAAACATACAGACACACGCGCACGCGTGCACACACACGCACGCACGCACACACTGGGCTGTAGCACATTTCCTCCGCCCGTTATTCCGAGGACACTTCCGCTTCCTCTCAAAGGCCGCGGGGACTGGCTACGATCTAGGCATTTGGCCGTTGGATGAGAAGGAAGAGACGTTTCTATGGATACTCAGGTGTGCTAGTTGAAAGCTGGAATAATATGATCTTGCCTTTATAGCTGGGGTACATAACTTTTTTGTTTTCATAAAAACACATTTTGTTTGTTTCAACAAAGAGAATACATTATGTGTTTATAGACATGTTATCTTGTTTGAAATATCCTTGTGAGTCACTCTTTGACGCTTTGGGCTGAGAGCTGATTGGACCAACCAATCTGAAAAAGCTGTCAATAATTATTGACTTTTATATATATTTTATAAGATATTTATTTATTGAGTGTTCGTTTGTACCTCCATACGGCTAGGAGAAAGAGTTTTGTGATTGTGAGTATTTTTTGGCCTATTCAAAGGCAATTTTCCCATTTTATATTTTCAATACTGATTGCAATAGAAAAGAATTGATAACAACATAACATTTTTCTTCAAGCCTGGTTTACAATACTGTTCACAATACTGTATATTCATCATTCAACACCTTTAATATACAATTAAAGTATATAGCTTTAGTTTATATATACTATATAGCTATAGTATATAGCTATAGTTTTATGACATCATATTATAATGCTAGACTATACATTTAAGTTTGACATGTTAAAGATTATTAGTTTACTTCCTGGTTGACCACTATCATTTCTATCATTCCACTATTCATTTATTGATGACTTTGATGTAGTTATTACATTTCATTTGGCTGATACGGGAGGGTAAGCCACGCCCCCGACCCAAATGCCTGGGTTTCAACCCCCGCCCCTCCCCCCCTACTCCCGTATCCGAGGCAACCGCAGTACAGGGTTTCCCGAGCAACTATCCACGGGCCCTTGACGTCAGCACGACCATGGCAACCACTGCGGGAATGACGTAAGCCCGGACGTCGCCCTGGCAACTGTCTCCACGAGCACGAGGCGGTTGTGGCAGAGTCAGCTGACCGCGTGTGGGCAGCGCTGTGTTTGGACCTGCAGCCAAAGGGAATAATGACAGCACCTGTGTTGTGTATGCATGCTTTCATTAGACTGTGACACTCCTCTCAAGGGTTCTTAGGTTGTAGAGGAAACGATTTGAATATTGTAAATCACTGTCCTAAGTCGACATCATTGCAATGGAACAATGGAAAGAGACTACTGTTTTGCACTAAAGTGAGTCACTGCAGTAGAAAGACAAAATAACGTATTTTGGTATCTTTCTGTTGATTGCTCTCAAAATTCAAGAAAAATATAAGGTGAAATTAAAATATGATTTTTATAGTATAAAAAGTGGTGTTTTGCATATCTTGCATTTACTACAAAATGATGCATTACATGCTTGATTTGGTTTACATTTCAGATCAAAGATATTAGTAAATCTATTGTGAATTCAAATTTGATCTATATTAAAAGGATAATTTGCTAATAAATCATCATAAAATCCATCAAAACCGTATATAATTGTCCTACAATTGAAAAAATAATCATAAACAGAGTTAGAAAAAAAATGTAAATGAGCTATTATGCTAATTCCAGCATACTTATGTTTACTCTGTTTGCAGACACATTGTTGAATATACTGTCCTAAGTTTGTGTAAGCCCTCAGTCGTACAGGGATTAGTCAAAGCAAAGGAAGGTTTCTCACCCATCATCTGTACTTCTTAGCAAGTTTTCCCGACGAAAACGTCGGGGAAACTTTGGGGAAAAAAAATGTTGGGAAAACTTGCTAAGAAGTACAGATGATGGGTGAGAAACCTTCCTTTCCTTATACTGTCCTAAATTCAAATAAATGAATACAAATATGAATAATTCTTTGTGGACATATTTACCATACATTTTGACACATTTTGCTGTATAGGATTGCAGATAGATAGATAGTGGAGCAGGACAGGTCACAGAGAAGGACCACCTAGGTCAAGCAAGCCCCATTACAGTTTTTCAATTGCTACATTATCAACCAAAGAAAAACCAAAAATTGAGCTTTGGAGTTTATGCACATTTCAAAAACATTAAGAGCTGTGGAATAGAATAAGCTAATCAAAACATTATCGAACCTGTGAGACTGCCTCATTATTTCTCTGCTGAGGGTTTTTCATTATTCTCACACCTTGTGGGTAGCGAAGCACAGCCTTTGTGATGAAGTATGGTAACTCAAACTGTGATTTTGTTTATGTTCCTGAGGGCACCTCTGCCCTGAGACAATTTCAACTAACATTATTTCAGATTATACCAATTAAATTATAAACAATTCAAGTGAGCAATTGTGAATACACTGCATGAGTATTAAAAAGAATACCAACATTTTGGGAGGTGCCAAATACATGATGACAATTTTATAATCGGGACAAATGGAGTAACATCTACAAGAAAGGTCCAGTCTGGTCTGGGGATCGAACTAAAGACCTTTGTTTTTAGATTTAAGGCTCAAGGTATCTTTATTATCCCCGAGCAGCAATTTGGTTCCAGCTGTTGTCATGTAATTGTGTAAGCTATAACATAATTATGGACCCCCCTTTCAGAGATATAGGGTGAGGAGCTCAGTCACACAACAGGAGCTTTGAGTTGAGGCACTGCTTCTAAATGTTGAGAGGAGCTAGATGAAGTGGCTCGGCATTTGTTTCGGATGCCTCCTGAACGCTTCCCTGGGGAAGGTGTTTATAGGGCATGTCACACTGGCAGGAGGCACTGTGACCGTGTCTCTCAGCTGGCCTTACGGGAACGTCTCAGGATTCCCTCTGATGAGAGTCTGTAGAGAGGGAAGTCTGGCCATCTTTGATTAGATTGCTGCCTCTATGACCGGGTATGTATATAGTGGAGGAAAATGGATTCATGAATAAAATCTATGAGGACAGAACACACTGGATGACTGTTTGAATAGCACAATATTTACACAGGACAATTCAAATTGCTTACAAATGAAAATTATGAACAAATCACACAAACTCTGCACAATACTTTAACATGTTAAAGTATTGTGCAGAGTGAAACAGATGTTTTTAACTTGGATTTGAACAATGCCAGTGAAGAAGCCTGTCTCACATCTTGAGGAAGACTGCTCTAGGCTTTACTGCATACATGTTCACAGTAACTCCCCATGTTTAGCCCTGACCCTCCCAGCAGGAGGTCAGTCCTATCAACCCCAATGGTCACCTCGTTTACATATATAGATCTGTTCCTGTGTATGACAATACTAATAGATTGAGAGCAGCCCATACTGTGGGTGCATTATACTTACTGAACTGTTCATGTGGTCTGCTTTCTTTTTTACCTTTTCTTTAAAGTGTCATGATATATTTAGTTTTGCAGCTTCGAGAACAGATTTGGAAAAGTTGTTTTTGTTGTTGCAAAAATCCTACATAATGTCCTACATCAGTCACTTTGTAATCTTCCCAATCTAAATGATCCATGCAACCAAGTTCATTAGTTCATGGTTGTTAGCCATGCTTCTAAGTTCATGAATTGCTACTCATAATTGTGGCTCCGCAATACTTCTTAGTTCATTCATTGTGGTTAGCCAAGATTTTTTCTTCATTAATTGTGGTTACCCAAGTTTTTGTTTGTCAGTATGTTATTGGTAAAACATATTGTCAACATATTGGTAGAGCACTAGTCTTTGAGCCTGAAGGTTATGGGTTCGACCTTGTGTATATATATGTATATTCATCAAACTGAAATTTCCCCTCATTAGGACAAATAAAGGACTATCCTGTTCTATTTTCAGGATCTCTCTTTGTCCTAAATTGTAGAACGCAGACCTCTTATACATTTGTATATCAGGCAGATTTGTAATCCTGGTTGAGACTGAGATACGGAACACATAGGCGACCTCTTATTCATAAACCTGTGCACATCCTGTTTGTAGAGGAAGTCTAAAAGCGGACACAACTCCACTTCCTCCTAGGGGCCTTTATGTAAAATGAGCCAGAACAGGGCTATACTAAGGACATGCATTTTTCAAATTTTAATTTTGGAGATTTTTACAACCACTACAACTTACAACTTTATCCTCTCATCAAAAACTGATATTGTGCCTCAATATCAATGAACATTTAGCACAAAATGGCACAAACACGTTCCCTTCCGTCAAAATCCTGTGTGCAAACTCAGCAAATTCATAAACTACTGTGACGTTGTGGTCAAACACAAGTTTTGCAAACAAGAATAAAATAAAATTAAACAAAATTTTGTTTTGTTGAAGCACTTTAAAAAGTTTTTAATAGACAAAAAATAGGTCAGAGAATCTCTAGCTTTAGCATAATAAAGAAGTAAGTATAAGTTGGAGATTGTATACTTGCTTCTTTATCGTCTTTTTCTATGTGGATAGGACTGATTGCATGAGGCCCACATCTAAACGCACAGCGACCAACCACGCTGTGCCCGCAGATACACGATTGGCCGTGAGCATCATTGAAAGCGCCCACAAAGCATGTTTCCTTCATCTTTTTTCTCCAGAGGAATCTAAACCATTGGTCTCAAACACGTGGCCTGCAAAAGGCATTTTGTTGCCTCCTACTGGACATCCAAGATTAATTACTGTAGCCCCTCTGAAAATCTTGGCCAAGCTGACATGTTATATACATCATGTTAAAGCTCATTTTATTATTTGTATTACCATAAATATTGAACCCTGAATGCAATAAGTAATAATTACCATTATTAACAATCAACTTTATTAAACCCAGTCTATAACACAAAGCCTCATTGCCTTTTGTCCAGTTTTGTTCAAAGTTGTTCCTGGAAAAATTAAAAAATACATCTATACTAATGTTCAATAAAGGGTGAATTATTTTGGTGTAGATTCCAAATACGTAAGATCCAACGTGGGATTGAACGTACGAGATCCACCAGATCAGAGCGTATGCAACTGCGGCTGTTAATAAATGCTGCGTTGAAAACTAGGGTATTTATGAAAGTCACGCCTAAAAACACAGTTTTTACGATAGGTCAGCATGGAAGTCGGCCAGGAAGACTATTTGGAAGCCTCAAAAAGCGTGTTAGTGACATGCACTCCTGAGTTCATCATCTTTGTTAAAATATACACTATTGTATATATATGCGTTTTTTCCCTAGTGTCTGGACCTGCTGCAGCACCCATGTGCAATTATGCAGCGCAGGGCCTGTCACAGATTTACTGTGTCACACACATTAAGTCAAATTAATTTGTATAGCGCCTTTCACAAACCAGGATCAAAAAGCGCTTCACATTTTAAAAACATACATATGAAAATAATACACATACAAGTCAGATATACAAACGAAGAAACAGAAGAGGGTCCTCATACACAAATTATGCACACATTTTGTAATTGATGCTCAATGGGTGACAGTAGCTCA